ATGCTCACTTCGCTGTGAGGAAGGGGGTGTGTGGCTCCCAGCGGCCCTCACCTCACTAAGAAGAGGCAGCCCTTGGTTAAGAGCCAGCGACAAGGATCCGCAATGCCACTGAAAACTTTAAGCCAAGAGAGCGGTAGCGATCCTGTTACGGCTACTGCGAACGGCAACATCAACGCCATCTTCCTACAGCCACGTGTTAACGCCGCTCGTCGTTATGCTACGCTCCGAACTTCACAGGGTTTCAATTCTCCTTCCCTGACAGCCTGCTACAAAAGATGGCATTTCACCCTGGTTTTACTTCCTTACGTAATTCCTGGGTCAATTCTCAGCTAAGAGTTGATGTCGCCTCTCCAGACACCGATTTCCCGTTGTCTGCAGTTCGCTCGGGCTACGGCGCTGGAAGAAAAGCGCCGTCCTTTGCAGTAAATAAAGCCTCCAGGCTCGCGCCACCGAAAGCAGTAGTAACTAGTAAAGGCACCGAGATGCTCATCCCGGAGGCCGCGTTGAGAAACGCAGCCCTCCAAAGGAAACCGCTGCCTGCCGAGGACACGCACCCTCCGGTCGGCGTCACCCGTCACAGGAGCAGCAGAATGGGAGGCACGGTGCCAGGCCGAGATCGGTTTAACAGGTCTCTCTACCCTTTATTTTAAATAAGGACAGCGCTAACAAAGGTTTGCTAAGCCTATCCGGGAGGCGCGGACCGATCTCCGCTGTTCGGCTAGAGCACGGGCACAGCAGTAAACAAGCGAGTTGGCTTCTGTTCCAGTAGAAACACCAGGCAAAGTTTAATGGTTCTCAAACAGACTACAACAAAGGCTGCAGGGAAAAACATTTTATTTCCAAGCAGATTACAAAGAGCAGAGAATATAAGAGTAAAATTAAATTAAAAAAATAGTTGAGTGCATCTCTTTAAAATGATTTGTAGTGTGAGTTACTCACGGGGCAAAGCTACTGGAGAGTTCTGAAGGTCACTTTGCAGGATGCCAATCACATGTGCTGTTTAGACCAGGGTCAACACAGGAGGGACAGACAAGACGTATTTTGCATATAGGCTGCACACTCATTATCAAGCGAGGCTCTGGGCTGCAACTGGACCCTGCCTTTCTGAGACACCCCCTCCACCTCGTTCTCTCCCGCGGTTCCCTCTCAAGCTCTAGACGCAGTTTATTGCTGCTGGAAGTGGGTTCAAGTCTGCCTCCCCGTTCCGATGGGCTCAAGCGAGAACAGAGACGCAGGCAAACGCGGCTGCCACGCGCAAGGTTATCCAGGGAAAGGGACTGCCGTGCTGAGCGCCGAGCTTCAGCCACGCAACAAAAGGAACTGAGAGGTGGGGGACACCGCAATCGCTTCGGAGATCTTGGGGCAGCGTGTCAGCGAGACTTCTGGAAGAAGATTCGAGATGCTCCTTAAGGTAGGAAGATGCTCGAGCTGAGAAGGGCTCTTTCCTATGCATTGGCACCAGCGAAACAGAACAGGCTGAAACATCAGGATAAGGTACGTTCCCTGTCGTATTAGAGAGGAGCAGCTCCAGCAAGAAGATGGGGAGAAAAGCCCCGTATAGGGTGGAAGACAGTTTATATCCCACTTTAACAGTGATTTAAGAGTCCGAACACTAATTGCAAGTAAGTGGCTATTAAACTTGGATGAGAATGCAGTTTGGTTGGACTGTGCGGAGTCCGTCAGCATCTAGCAGCGCTCAGACCAGCAAGAGGATGAGCAACTACGGTATCAGCAAGCCCTCCGCCCCACGTGCGCTCAGAAGGCTCTTTTCTGCTGCTTTTGGACCTGTTCTTATGGCAGCACAGGAGGCGCGAAGATGGCCTAATCCGCTCTACGTACGCCGAGGCAGACAGCAGCCCTGACGCAGCCGAGAACAAGACTGTCTTAATTTCTGCCCTAGGAGCAACACTGCAGAAGAGGATTCTTATTTAGGGATCAGATTAAGTCTTTTTTCATTGGTCCAAGGCAGAACAGTTCAGGAACTACTCCAGACCTTGTCTCCCGTCTAAAATCCGGGAGATCTCTCGGGGTGAAGCAGCCAACAGATGAGAGCCCTGTTAAGTTACTTCGGCTGTTCCCTTTACTCTCTGCCCTAGACAGGAGCGAGGAACCACGCTAGTCTGCTCTCCGCTGCTTCAGCTGTTACCACTCAGAGGAAATGCTTGAACTCTTGAAAGTAAATGAAAATCTACTGGTGCCGCGGACAAGCGTGTGAGGCTACAAGCTTCCTTGGGGAAGCAAGGCTATTAGTGTCAAGAGAGAGGACAGTACGCGAGCCTCGCGTCAGAACGCGCGGTGCTTTACAACGGTCAGCTGTGCTCCGCGTTCTGTGGTTCCTTTCACACCGCAGAGACGAGATGGGCACAGCTCGAAACCAACACCACGGGGTCTCTAGCTTGACTTCTCAGCTTGTTTTATTTAGAGATCGATGCGTTTTCAGCCTGCCTCATACAAGGCATCGGGCACGGAGAGTTCTCGCTTAATATATACAGGCGTACAAGAGCTAGCAGTTTGGCACTCTCGGAGCCGAGGGGGAATGCCCTTTAAGCAGCAGTTGAGCTGGTTATAGGAAAGTGTTAAAAAGCTATGTTACGTGTTTGACTGGGAACGTCTCCCAGAGCGGGGATAGCAACCCTAAGCCACAGCACTCTCCTGTGCTACTCTGTGCACGTCTTCCTATGAGCCCCTACAAGGGAGCAGATCGTGTTCTTCGCTATCAAAGAACATAGTATTTATATTCTAGAAATACTGTACCTTTTAAACTAGCTCCAGAGAGCCAGACTAGAAGCCAGGTCCAGGAAAATAATCCTTAAGTCACAGTATATCGATTGTCTCTAAAAACAGGGAATGAAGTTAACACGGTGGACGTTCTGATGAGACAGTACAGAACAGTACGGCAGTCCACTTCCGCGTCAGCAAATCCCTCGCCTGTGTACGTCTGAACGATGAGAAAATAATGGAAACACTTCGGTCCGTCAGGACAAAACCAGTCACCAGGAGATCTCCACCACTCGCCACATGCCAAGTTCCCCCACTCTTAAGTGGTATAGTCCAAGATCAAGGAGAACGCTTCCCCTACAAAGACTTTAGATCATCCTGCAGTTAAGGGTAGGAAGGAAAGTGCACAATCTAGAATTTTAAGGTAACATGGAATTCCGTTTCCCCGGAAAGCTCAGCTGAAGGATCTGTCCAGCCCTAACCTGGGAACTGCCCTAATGTTCTGTCAAGTTATTCCAGCTTCTGGCAATTTTTAGAGCCAGAGGTGACTCCCAAGGCCACCTAACGAAGCGACTCGTACACTGGGCACCTGGCAGATGACTTCAACGCCCACCGCATTTCTGATGGAGAGAGACAAGGCAGCACCTCGCGCCGGGGTGGGGCCATGCTGGAGCTAGCTTGCCACGCAGCACTGCAGAGCACACGCTGGGGCTCCAGCACAGGTGTCTGCGGTTTCTCTCACATCTTTGCAACTCTGGTCAGAAGACAGGACAAACTGCCCAAAAGAACGGGAAACCCGCTCCGTGCAGGTCTGTTGGGCATCCTGAGCAACAAGCACACCCAGCTGCTTGGAACAGCGGGAGCTTGCCCCTAACCATGTCCTTAAATACTTAAATTAGGGCCAGAGATGGACATTCCAGTCACTAAGATACAGTGAAGGGATTACAGGCTCCCGACAGCTGAAGCAGTATCAGCGACCCTGACAACCACCCTACCAGGAGGCAACTGCTGGCTCCCAACAGCCGAACTGAGCTGAGGGTACGTGTTGCCAGCGCCACGCACCACCCGGGCACCACCTTCCCAACTTACCCATTGGGATCCGGGCACCAGCCCCGGGCCATTTTCCCCTGGCATAACTCTGAGGGCAGACACTGAGCTAAGAGTCTACTGTAGAGTACAGGTATTAATGAACAACAGCGCGTTGCTACTTCACCTCTCCGCACTTGCGCGGAGTCCTATACAGGGAACAAACTGCTCATACTGACAACCAACTCGAGCACGTCTGCGTTCTCATGAACGCAAACGTCAATATGAAGCGTCAGAGGCTTGAAGTCTCTCTAAGCCCGCACACCTCAACACTGATCAAGAGCACAAAGGCAGGGAACGTTATGGCTGCTCTCGTCCTATCTGCAGATTTATACTGCACAACCGACAGAGAGGGCAGACCTTCCTCCTCGATACAGACAGGTGCTGGTCAACAGAAGCTTCAGAAAAACTGCTTGTCTGTACACAAGTTTAAGTTCTTTTACTGTAATATATATTTAAATATATATCTATATATTTTGGAACAGGGAAGGAACATGAGATGGAGAAGCAGGGAAGACAAGTTTGAGAAGCAGAGTCATCTCTCCGCATCCAAGAAGCTGGTGGCACAAATAACAAGCCTGGCTAGAGTGATCTCCCATTTCAAAGCAGGGCTGGCTACCCGCTGGCTTCAGAAGAGCGGACTACTTGATAATGATATAAAATACAGCAACCGTTTAAGATGCAGCAAGGCAAGGCTACAGGGCTGGGGTTTATGATCATGAACGATGCCAGAAGCTACACAGCTGCGTTAAAAAACTGTGAAAAGGCTGTTAAATGGCAGGAGTAAGCCACGTGCTGCTCCTGGAAGGCCTTTTCTCCCTCCAACACCCCTCCGTCACGCCGTTGGTGTGATGCGTTTGTAAAGGTGGGGAAAGGGGGATTTGCCTAGGGGTGAAGCCTCGCAGGCTGGCCGCAGAACATTAGGACAGACTGACAGTCTGGTCTGGTCTCACAGATCCCATGTTCCTAGCCTGACACTGAGCTTCCATCAGCAAGCAGACATTCAGGTCCTTCAAACAGAAGTTAATCCCCTTCTACCTTCCTAATTTGTAGGGGTGAAAGAAGTCCAGCGGAGTCGAGCTGGAAAGCACAAACAGGGATGAAAACAACCAGTTTGCAAACTGATCTTTGTATAATGACCCTCCCCACCCTCACAGCTCACTCTTCCCCAAATAAAGACACATTGTTCAATGGCATGTTGAAAAGACGTGCTCGTCATTCTTAATAAACAACTAGAGTAAGAATACATAAGAGAAACAGGGTGGTATCTTTATATGATACACAAGTGTATGTTACAAGAATTCCATCAGGCACAGGAGCCTCAAGGTTTAAGGCCTCAATGTTAGGCCAAAAAAGAAGAGTGTGGTAAAGTTTGTACTTTTAACATCTAAAAATGTCACTTAAAGGTCTGAATAGAAATCGTTGGTTTGTGGGTTGTTTTGTTTTTTTTTTTGTATAAATCACAATTGCAGTTCACTCTCTCCTCTTCCTTCCAAGATAACAGCAAATTAACGTCCAAGCACAAGAAAAGAAGATGCCTGCCTCTCCTCCACTGGCTGAGCAGGTCCATCCATCATTCTGTGCCCTCTAGGCTGCACGTGCTCCGCGGAGACAGAGGCCCCAGCCATCCAGGCCAATCCTGTAGTTCATGTTTTCTACATCATAAAAAAAACCAGAGTCAACCAGCAGCTTTCCACAGCTCCCAGCTCGCAGGGGATATGCAGCCTCCAATGGTTCCAACAGTTTGGTGTGTTGGGTAGGATACACAATGGGTAGGTTTTCCTTTAGATTCTTTTAAAGAGAAGAAGCCTAAAAGGGCTTCATAACTACACCAATAAAAAACCAAAAACTTAGGCATCTCCTTTAGTGTAAAAGTCTGTACAATTTATCTTTGCTTGTCCCTCCCCCGTCACCCCGCCCCACCCCTTCTGAGCCAAGAAGGATGCCTTAGTGCATGGTGCTGGCATTAGCCACGGCAATAGCTTCCTGAATCTCTCGTATCACCAGGATCCGGGTGAGCATCTGCTCCATCTGCTCTCTGCTGATCGGCTGGATGGAATACCAGATCGGGCTGTTGGGGGCCACCACTGGCTCCGGTGTCAAGTAAAACGTGTCATTCCGGCCTTTCACACTCTGGGGGCTGCGTGAGGAAGATCAGAAATAACCAGACTAACGGCATGTCCTGGGAGGGAGAGACCGCCACTGTCCTCGCCCCAGGCTTCACAAACCCTGGCAGTGAACATCTGGCTGATGAGACACGAAGGTATGGGGTTACATCTAGGGCCAAGAGTGCTCCCAAAGTTTTTAGGCCGTGCCAAGGTTAAAAAGCCATGGTGACAGCTACAAGAAAGTAATTTTTATTTCCTGCTGGCAAGTATAACACACACATGGCTTTAGGAGTCTTTCAGAGTGAAGCAAGGATGGGGTATTTTCACATCCAGGCTAGCTGCAGACTCATCTGTGCAGGGGAACATTTACATTAATTATCAGAATCATCATAATTTAGAGGTGAGTCCTTTGAGGCTCCCTCCAATCTCCAAAGCAAGTCCTCATTTTTGTTCAGAAGCTGATCTGAATAGGACCCTCATCTCATCTCAAGTAGTGGATGCCTCTGGATGACTTGCTCGCGAGTCACAGACAGAACAGCGAGCTCATGCTAGCACAGCAAACCTCCGGGGTGAGTAGGAGATTAAGACCAGCCAGTTCACAAATCAGGATTTGTCTCTTTTAAATACCACAGAAGTTCAACTTATGTGCCATCAGAGTAAATCCCACCCTCTCACATCAACGCCCTTCCCCATTTAAGTAAATTTATGCAAACATAGAAACTGTGCCAGCAATAAAACACAGCCCCGAAAACTAGGCCAGCCACAAGATGCGGCTTAACAGTCACAGAAGACGAGCAACCATACACGCGAACAAGAGCTCTCACCATTTGAAGAGGTAGAAGTCATACAGCTTTATCGGACACCTCAGGGGGTTCTCTGGATTCTCAGTCTGCTCTGCATACATGTCATCTGTAACTACAAACCAGCCCCCCACAAGTCTGTCAGACACTCTGCATAAGTACGGCAAACTGAGCGCTGCCACACAGCCTCAGCGCTCTGAAGCGCCTTGTCGCCGTGCAAGAGCTGGCAAGGGACATACAGCTGTCCCAGGGCAGAGGCACCTGGTTATAAACGCTCAAGGCATTATACAGAGAGCTTGCTTTATCCCAAGGCTACCGAAGATCACGACCCATCCATGTCCTTCTTTCCATTTCTCCTCTACCTGTGCCCCAAAATGAGAGAAATCTCACTACCGAGACTGCAATGCCTCAGCTGAATCCCGAGTCTGTGCTTTTAAGAGGACAGACTGCACTTACATATGGATTCTATATGGGTTCACATGAGTCAAGATAAGAGAAGCCCTCCCAAAGAAGTTTCTCCCTCTGTTCGTAAGCACTTACCCCCAACTGCCCCTTTGCCCATAAAAAACAGAAGTAACAAAAAGAAGTTATCCTTAGCTCTTGGTGAGTCCCGTATGCCTCAGGTAAGGCACGTCCCCAGGCTTGTTATTAGGCGGTACTACGCTCTCTCAGACAGCACGCGCAGAAAACTCATGCTGCTAGGCTGAAGGTAACTGGCAGAGCCTTGGGTCCTCGCGGCCCTACCTGCAGGCATCTCCAGGTTCATCCACTTCCTTCAAGCCCAGTAAGTAAATATTCCCCAAGAAAACTTCCAGACACTACCTTTCTGTCCTGTCTGGTGTATGCCATGAGCCTTCAGATAGCGGATACTCGTGCTTTTATCCTTCGGATTAGAAGGGTTCTTCTTGGTCTGCCTCAACACTTTGGAGAAGGCCAGCTTCATGTGCTGGTCTACTGTTTTCAACAGGAAGTATCTGAGCAGCAAGAAGAGGACACAGAACATTCAGAGGCAAGAAAAGGATACAGTCACAACAGCGAGGCAGTTATCTTTGCTCATCGTGAGCCAGCTGAAGCTCAAACCAACGCCAAATTTAAGACTGTTCCAGCAGCAAAGCATGCAACAGCCACAACTTCAGTTTCCCCTCTGCTGGCTCATTTCCTTGTTGTACTGCATCGTCTTCGCCTGATGGGGCTGCAAGGGGGCTCTGCGTGCAACCATTCAAAATTCCTGATTTCGCCCTAATACAGCGCAGCAGTTTCCTACCAACCCTGTCAAGGAGTTTGAAGTTCTTTTATTCCCCGAGATTCCCAAAGACCTAAGTACTTACTTTGTATTAAAAAACATCAGTGTAGTGAGCAAGGTGGAAGGGGAGTGAGCTCCTAGCTGCTTACACTCCCACAGCATCTCTTCTGTTACATGACTGGAGAGGACATAACCTGCAATAATCAGAAGTCAGCGTCACAGCGGGAACACAGGCAGCATCCTATAGTCTGTAAGTATTGCAGAACATATAAATCTTAAAGGAAGGAGGAGGAGGAGATCCTTGCTGATGTCAAGATTCACTGCTGTACAGAGAACTTGCTAAATAGCAGGTACAATTAGGAGACACTTGTACACGTACGTCAAGCTCTAGTTGCGGAGAGTACGCTTCCGCAACACGCCTATACATCCCAGCCCAGAGAGAAATAAATATGCACTTAAACAGCTTTTAATTAATGGCTCGACTCCAATGCAGATGCTCCTAATCCAATAATATGTGAGAGCAGGCAGGCCAGCGTAACAAATCAGCTCTTGGCCCTGTGCGCAGCTTTAGTCAGCACACAGTGCCAAGTGATGTATTTGGACACATGAGTAATCCTTTGATTCTCAGATTATTTTTTTTCCCTTTGTGTAGAAGAGAAATACTATACTCCAAATACAGAGATAAACAGAAAAACAGACAGCAGTATGAACTCCGGGGCTTGTGGAATGACAAAGCACAGATCAAACAGCCAAAGTGAAAACAAAAGGACTCCAAAACTCACGGTGCTGCTTCGCCATCTAGCCTGTAACGTCAGCTACTTTTCTGAACACAAGCAATAGCTTCTTCCCTGACATCTAATCAGGGAGTGAAGTAATGAGAAACCAGGTTTCTGTGCTCTGAAAATGCATTTCTTAATCTAGTTCTCATACGCAGCTCTGTTAAAAATCCATCTCTTCTGGAACTGCTCCCCCCGCCCCTGTTGCCATCATCTTCTAAACGCAGGGTTGAGATGAGCTGCATTTGATTGCAGCGTTCGAGGCTCTAATCGCGCATTGTTTTTTTCTTTGACACTTCGTTGGTCCTGCAGACCGTATCCATCTGGCTACAGGGCAACGTGACAGCATTGTATTATCTCCCAAAGTAACAATACGTATTAGAGGCAAAATGTTTTAGTACTTCAGATGAGGAAGCTTGATTCGGATCAAGGATCAGCTGGCTTCCAAGTAAGCCAATCTCACAACACTACAAAGTCCCAACAATCTGCCTTCCGATGGGTGACAAGTGACAGATGAATAATCCTCAGCAACAATCAGGGCTAGAGCCTGACATGCGCAACAACCCCAGCGTTCACTGCAGACGCGACATTTTTCTCCCTGACCAGTATGAGCTGCCCTAGGGACGTAAAGTACCTCGAAAGGGTTTCTGTTCAGACTACACTCATGCTGTAATTCGGTTCAAACATTCCAACCTCCGGGAAGTTTTAAAGTTCTTAAACAAAAGTTCTTACCAAGAGGGGAAACGCGGGGCTGTACGTCCTTGAGAACTTCATGCAGCCATTCAGTGAACCGAATATAGTAGAGATCTGAGAAGATGTCATCTACTCGGCCATTTTCAAAGAGATACTGCAAGAGATTCACAACACGGTCCAGCACAGTGGTAGCAAGTACATTCCTCAGACCAGACCTTATCCTAAGAGCCCACATACCCAGTTAGTCAAGCATTTTCGAGCACAGCACTGAAGACTAATGCATTCTACTTAGAAGGGTGAGGACCCTTGCACCAAGGCAGGGTAGGTAACCTCAGTTACTGTGACGGGAACGCCAAGACAGAAAGGCAAAACCATCGTAGAAAAGAAAGCTGGTTGGATTTCACCTTTTACTTCAGGTGCGTTCACTGCAAGTTATTTCACATGACTGTCCTCTGGACACCACCTTTTCAGGTTGAGGAGAGAGATACTCAATTTTCCTATCAGAGTTTGGCTCTGTTCCTGCAGCTCTTCCAGAAAGCCCGCTAACATTACCAGCTCAGACCTCCCACACCACGCAAAGCTAAGCTCTCGCCTGGTAAAGCTTCAACTAGATCAAGTTTTGACGTTGACAACTTCCTCAAACATCATCCAACCCTCCTCCCGCCGCCAAAAAAACAAAGGATTTATTATTCTCACCATGATACTGAACTCGGTTATTAACAATTCTTCACAAACTTAACTCAGTAGAGGAAAGCATTGCTGTGCACTAATTATACTGCATCGGTTTTTTGTTGGTGTTTGTTTGTTTGTTTTTCTTTTTAAAGCAAAGAGACTTTTTTTCTTATGAAATTGTTGAGAAGCTTAATAGAAGTCACAGGCTCTGTTTCTATAACAGAGAATCCTCCCTATGCATGCAGGCAACACGCACGGCTTTGCTGCAGATACAGCTGTCCTCTCCCTACCTTCTGAATACACAGGAAGATGTAGTAGAGCACATCTGGATCGTAGGGTTCACCATCACCATTTCGAGCTTCTCGTGTCATTAAGCATAGACCATAATTCAGCTCAGCCACGGCTGAAGAGATGAGATCTTCCTGGAACCTCAGCAGCTGACGCCCTGGAAAAACAAAACAAAGCCATATTATTGAAGCCATATTGTTTCCCAGTCTTTCAGGAATGATTTCCCACATCTCCAGCTTTGCCATTCTATCTGACAGGCCCAGTACTACCTCATTCTCCCAGTATAATAAAGCAAGCTGAAATAAATCAAGATCTTAGGCTGTCAGATCTACTAAAAGATAAACGGGCAAGAATCCGACAGGAAGACTCTCTGCCCTGCCAACTGCCTGTCTATTGTCTTCTTTTACTATGTCCACGATGAAAGGCTGCCCTGCAGCAACAGGAAAACAGCAGCTCCGCGACTGCTCTACCAGCTTGCCTGGCACTCACAGCCATTTTGTTCGTCCGTGCACCACAGTCACACAGTGCCCGTCTCTACTGCTACCAGCCTAGGTGCTCAAGTTGGCTCGGCACAGAGCTAACATCTCCCTTGGAACATGTCCTACGGCAGTGGGAGCATGCAATACTTAGTCCTGCAGGGTAAATCAAAATTTAAATGTGAAAACAATCAGTGATTAAACAAATGTGTTTTCCAGAGCGGGAAACAGCTAACGTTTTAGTCACTCCTAATCCTGCTTGAAAGGAAAGACAGGCCATGTTGTCATCACACATACTTCCAATAGGTGCTAGCCTATTTTGGGCTTCTTTTTCCAGCTCTGCGTTCTTGGTCTGTGCCCAGCTTTTCCACACTTCAAGCCCTTCTTCTGGCTTCAGAGAATTTGGAAGTAGAAGTTCAGGTGAAGTCTGTGGCTGCGGCTGTGGTTCAACTTCAGCAACCTGAACAGTTTGAGCCTATGAAAGAAAACATTTCGGTTTATATAAACACTTCGATATGCAACAGTTCAACAAAAAACAAGCAATGCTGCACTACCTCTAGCCCCAGGGTATCAGCCCTTTACAACACTCCTCTCTAACAAGAAATTAAGCCAAGGAATGCAACTTTTGCTGTCTAACCTGAATCGCTGCTCGCAAAAGAGCATTCATCTCTCCAAGAACGCTTAGTTTGAATGGACATATCTATAACCCCTTTACAAATCCACACAACTTGCAATTTGATGCATTTAGAAGTCCTGCAGAACATCACAGGAGACCTAACAGCCACGAGCTGTTCTTGCTGCAATAGCATTAAGAAGCCAGCCAGCACATTCAAAGGCAAGGGTCTTCACAGGGCTAAAGTCCTCTCAACAGCAGGCTTCTGGTCTCCCCTCAAACACCGAAACAGATTACTATGGATTCTGAAGCCCCGTTTGCTCCGATGCATTTTTCTTGGCTTCGGCTAACTTGTCACTCTGAAGTCCATCATCTCACTACAACAAGAGTGGCCCAAGGCCCCTCGCAAACACAGCCTTGAGACACAGCAGCTAGAGAGACCGCCAGCCCCCGGCAGCGAAGAACAGCAAGGTGCCATCAGCTTTGCTGACCATTGCTGCTCCAAACCCAGACTGCCCTCGGCAAGGTGCTGGGTACGATTGTGTGTTGTACGCTGCTAGCATCCTTCCCTTGCCCATCGAGGGCAGGCGCTCTTCGTTATTCAGTACGTAACAGGCAGACAGAACAGATATGCCCTGTTCTTATACAACAGCTGACAATATTAATTCATCTGTAAGAGTTTTAAAGTAATACCAGACTAGAACACCAGCATCACAATGTTAATTCAGTTGCAATGAAACGCTCTCAAACTACCAAATACTGCTAGAGCGGACTAGCTACTGTTCTGTGAAGAGCTACTATAGACCTAAAAGGTCTCCAGACCCTTTGGAAGTTTACTTTGCAGCAGGACCTTAAGTCACCAAGAATTATGACCTCACACTGAAACTTATTTTACAGGCAATTGATGGCACCTATCCAGAAAGAGCAGTGAGCCCTCCAGCTGCACTCACTCTGCATTCTTCACTACAGCTTCTCAGTCCCATGCCACGGAAAGTCTCACGGCTATCTCAATTAAGCAGATTAACTTGAAGCTTTACAGCCCTTAATCAAATTCTCATTGGCACCCTGAATGTTAGGGAGAGCAATTCTTACATCAGAACAGTTTTGCTTTCTCCTTCTTAAGAGCCACCCCAAAAAGCAAGGCTTTGTTATAATGAAGTAACTTTTCCTTTGATACTGCCAAGTGTCAATCATCAGTGAAAGTTGCTCTGACAGTAGCAGAGACCATAATGAAAATGGCATAGAGACTTTAGTAATACCTGCACCTTACTTAGTACAACAAAAAAACCTGCTGAAGAGGCAAAGCCTGCAAGAGCCTGAGACTGGAGCTTTCTGACTGCCTCTGGCTGGTTTTCCTTTTTTTGCATCAGCTCTCAATAGCTCTTTGCTTATCAGCGCCTGCATCACCAGCAGCGTCTACCACGGCTACAGAGGGAGACTGTGACTGAAAAGGTCTAGCTTTTATCAAGGCAGACGGTGACAAAGTTTAAGTTGTCAAACAAGCCTCTGTCTTAAAAGAGGCCAGGAGTCCCAGGGTGAACCAACACCTTGTCTTTGCAGGAGCCTCCCCTCTCCTCCAGCGTGCTGCCCCATTACGCTCCAGAGAGCGGAAAGCTTTTCAGAGCCAGCCCCCTCCGTCAGCCCAGCCTAAGCGGCAACCTTCTGCCCTGGCCTCGCAGACACCTCGTCCAGCGTGAAGGCAGGCACGCAGGCTGAACTGGCAGATGCTTCTTAAGCGACTTAAGATTTTTCACAAATAGAGCAAAAGAGCCGCAACTTGCCCAGATCCCACAGCGGCACAGTGCCAGAGGACAGTGTGGGGCAAGCAGGCAAATTCCTTCTCAGTCTCACAGCTGTGAGAGGTACAACCCCCAAAAGTTCAATGTTCACCTATAGTAGCTTTATTGCCCCCTTAGAGGAAGAACATGTACCCTGCTGGACTTGCCTCTGTGTTTAGGGGCTTAGGCAACAGCCAGTACTCCAGAAAATTAGGATCAGAAAACTGATACCCAAGAATTGCAGACCACTGTGCACAAGAACACGTGGCATTAGTAGAAGGTTTACAAGTAACCATTGAAGAAATTATGGAGTTAAAGGATCCCAAGAATGTGGCTCATGCTCTTAGAGGCCCCTAGAATAAGTCCAAAAATCCTGTTTAGGAGAAAGGCAAGAAGTTCTGTCAACTTAGTTTGTTCAAGTAGCTGAAAGCTAGCTGAAAGTGATCTCTAAAGCACTAACACAGGGAAAAGGTGAGCTACAGAAGGCTCTTTGAACATGACAAAACAAAAAAACGCCAGCCAAACAAAACCCCACATATTACAAGACCCATAAGCTGTAGCTTAAAGTACAGCTTTAAAAAAGAGGTCATCCAGCATCCAAATGTTATCTCGAGATATAGGGAGCCTTTTTCAGTGAAGACCTCGGTGGGCTATAGCCCACAATCAACTCAGAAACTGTCAGCCATGACTACAGAAAGTCATCCTCCTTGTCTCAGTGCTTACTGATGAAGTAGAGGGCATATATGCCTTTATAAAGCCAACACTGTTATTTATAAACTGGAAAGAATTTATAACAACATTTATGCTAGCAGACTTGGATATTTTTGCCCTCATTCCATTCAGCAAAAACAAGCTCTGACAGATCAATTGCTTTTCACTTTCTGGTAACAAAAGATAAATTACATCCAATGCACATGTAAGAGAGGCCATTAATAGCCCTAATGAGTCAAGTTTTAAAAGCAAATTCAAAATAATCTATAGCTTAAAGTTAGCAACAAAGCCTTTAAAAAAACAGCAACACATTTGGCTGCCAGGTTTGCCAAGCACTACGAAGAGATGCTTACTTGCCACTGCTCATTACTGTGCTCTTGCACACCAGGCATTTACCAGGAGCAGGACATGGTGCTACAGATAGGTACACCTCATCCATTAAGTCTGCTCACAACTAGTCAGATTTCGACACTTTACCTGGGCACTGGATCTGCTGTGGACTCTATGTGCTGCATAACACGAAGTAACTGATAACTAGGTGACTAGGATATTTGCGCACCTTACTTCGCTGCAATCATCCCTGCCTTTCCACTGCAACCCCTAGAACAGCTCAGGAGAGGACTGCAGACCTCTATGAAGAGGCTAGCAATGAGCACATATCTATTAATTTGCACTACGAGGATCAGGACTGAGTTTCTTTTGGCAAGCTTTGCATCCTATAATTATGTACCAACATTAATGCATCACAGTCCTACACCTATCAGGAGTCAAATGCCCTATGTCACACCCAGGCTACTGGGACAGACGCATGGCTGCTTCCCAGATACCAGCTGTCCGCTGGCATCCTCCCTCTCCACAACATTCGTGAGTTGTTAATCACGGACTGAGACCGAGAAGCAGTTTTAACTTACTGAGCAAGTGACTTGTAGCTGCTGCTGCTGCTGCCCCTGCTCTTGGGGTGTGGGCTGCTGCTGTTGCTGCTGCGGGTCCCATATGTGCACCGTCTGTGCTGTATTCTGGTACGTCCCTGCCACAGCCTGCACTGCCACTGGAATGTGGATGTTGCCATTCATAAACTGCGCTGGAAAGAGCGAATTAGCAAGAGTCTGCACCACTTCCTCGTGAGAATTCTTCACTACTGAAGTACTTCCCACCATCTTATCCTTGTCATCTTCCAGCTTCACGGTAGCCAGTGTCGTTGGCGAGCCACTGACGTGGACGGCATTGTAGGCCTCCTGAGGGATGGCGATGTGGGTTATGTTTTGCTGCTGAAGGTCACCACGTGGTTGAGCAGAGTAAACAGGGATGGTCCAAGTCTCTCCAGTGGGGCTAGTAATGGTCCCAGTGGCACTGTACAGGTGGGCACTGTCCACTGTTAACAAGTCTGGCCTTAAAGAGACGTAACTTTGCTGCTGGCCCTGAGGAATGGCCAGCACTGTGGCAACTGGCTGCCCTGAAATAGCATACGATACAGTAATAGGCATATCCACTTTACGTTTCTTCACCGGCTGAAGGACATTAGCAGTGCTGATCCGCCGCTCTCCCTCTCGTGGAGAGCCTTGTTGAGAAGGCGGAGGCGACAGTGCCCCGACTGTCTGGATCTGTATCTGCTGGCCGCCGGTAATGGCCTGTCCTGCCACAAGCTGGGCCTGGATCTGCTGGTGTTGTATGTGTTCCTCCTGTATCTCCGCAGCCTGGATCTGTTGGGCAGTCTGCACGTGCTGCACTTGGATTTGAGCCGCCTGCAGCTGACACGGGCTGGGGCTCTGAAGAGATTGACTCTGTATTGTCTGGGATGCCTGCTGCTGCGCCTGGCCTTGGATCTGCACTTGGACCTGTATCGGTTGCTCCGAAGCCTGATGGACAGTGAGCTGTGGAGAGAGCTGCTGGGCGGAGACCTGCTGCGGTGACTGCTGGACCTGGACCTGAACCTGCAACGACACCAATTCAGCAGTTAGAGATCGGCAAGTGCCAGTGATTCAACGGGGGGGGCCACCAACAGAGACTGTCCGTCACTGGAGGGATGTCTATGCTCCAGGTCTTTTATGCTCAGTTTTATGATTCCATATATTAATCCATTAGTAAAGATCTCGGGAAAATGAAACCGAGTTACTCTAGAAGTGCCTGGTTGATAAGAGCAGTACGGTAGATGATGTGGTTGCTCAGCGCTGCACATGACCACGCTTCTCAGAACAGCGCGTGAGCTGCATCTCCATCCTCAAAGCTCTGTGGGCTCAAGCCAACAGATTGCATCCTTGGAAGCCAAGAGAGTCTTCAAAGCTATTTGCATTGCTAAAATGTTATTTCTGCATAGGCCTTGCAATAGCAAGACTTTAAGGTCATGCACATTACAATTCTGATTTATCTTGCTACAAAATGCAGGAGCTTGCCTCATTCTTACTGTGCTCTAAAGACTGTTTTACTGGTTTCAACCCCAGTCCCCCAAATGGCCGCAGGATCACTTGCCAGGGACAGGCAATAAGAAATATGGGTAAGTGGAAACCAGTACTTGGCTCTTTCCGCATAAAGCACAGAAATATTATTTTGAAACCAACCGCTAAGAGTAACGCTACACAAGTGGGTGTCAACACAGAAAGCTGCAAGTTCAACCTGAATCTTTGTCATGCGCTAAGGGGCAACACTGCAGCATTTGTTTTTTTACACTTCAGAAGTATTTTTTTAGCAGTGATAATTAAAACCAATTCTTTTTTTCATTATTTACTTATTCCGTTTAATTCCATTTATTGTCCAAATTACTCAGTTGTATTTTCTAGGTCATGCACTTACACAATGCTGAAGAACATGGACAAAATATGTTAAGACTTGGATCCAAACACATTTCCTTTTACTTTAGGGAAAAAGAATAAAAAAAAAAAATAAATCACACCCTCTCACATCAATGCTCATTTGTCTAAGGTCTGTCGGGCTATCTAGCAGCAGTCCAGGAGCAGGCTTACAGCCAGGAGTCAGAGGTAGCCTCCAACACAAAGCTCAGGTCTCGACAACTTCACATTCCAGGCCTCGAACCCAATGCAGCTGGTGTCTTCACTCCCAGGGCACCGAGTGAGGTGAGCTCTGCTCTCCTCATCCAGACACTTCACCATTTTGCCCCCCACATTTACACAACCACTTGGTGGCATTTGCCTTATCCTAGAAGTGATATCCCAGGTTCCCATGATCATTTGCTTCTCCGGGCTACCTTAACGCTGTATCTTAGGGAGGGAATTAATTACTCAACCCCTCCTTTCAAAATCCAACAGAGAGATGTAGAGCTTTATTAGTGGCATCTATGAGGGGCATATGAAGTTTGAAGCCAACACAGATTTATTTAGTTGCAAAACTATGTCTTCCTACTCATGTTCTCTCACCCTTTTCTACCTCGCTTTCTAGAGCCAGTCAAGCTAACGTAGCATTCACACAGAGACACCGCACTAGCCAGCTGGACAATACCAAAAAGAACTACCACGCAGGTCTGCATTGCACAGATACACGAAACCTCGCTTCCCAACATCACCTCTAGGAAGTCGTAAAAAAACATTAAGGATTCATTTGCAGCCAATTAAGACTTGCTAAGGCACAAAGTGGGGTAGCAAAACGCACCACTTGCAGACCAGTTTTTTAAGTCACCTCCTGTTAAGAACTAATTCTATTTCCAGGAAGAACAGGGAATTTTACAGGTTCCTGTGGGGAGCTATATGCAGTATACTGTAATGCAGATGACATGCACTTTCTATAATAATTTCCTGTAAGGTAACAAGAATCATATGACCTTGTGTCAGCATGACAGTTCAAAAAGCTGCATCAATGAGTGATTTGATCAGGCAGTTAATTGAGAAAGATGAAGTCACCTATGGGATGCTTCTTCATTTCTATTTGGTACTCTTATCATACTGCCTTACAGCATGAGTACCGCCTTGGGCAAACAGGGCCAAGCACAGATCCCAGTTAAGAGTTCAGTTTAAAAAAAACAGTTTCAATTACACCTCTGAGACAAGTATTCTCCCAAATATCTGACTTTAACAATCACTAATTAGTCCCTAGTCCTAGTCCCTGGCTGGACGGCCGAGCCCAGGGCGTGGTGGTGAACGGAGTCAAATCCCGTTGGCGGCCGGTCACGAGAGGGGTTCCCCAGGGCTCAGTGTTGGGGCCGGCCCTGTTCAATACCTTCATTGATGATCTGGATGAGGGGATCGAGGGCACCCTCAGTAAGTTTGCAGATGACACCAAGCTGGGTGGAAGTGTCGATCTGCTGGAGAGTAGGAAGGCCCTGCAGAGGGATCTGCACAGGCTGGACCGATGGGCCGGGGCCAACTGTGTGAGATTCAACAAGGCTCAGTGCTGGCTCCTGCACTTGGGTCACAACAACCCAATGCAACGCTACAGGCCACTGCTGGAGAGCTGCCTGGCAGAAAAGGACCTGGGGGTGTTGGTTGACAGCCGCCTGAACATGAGCCAGCAGTGTGCCCAGGTGACCAAGGGGGCCAATGGCATCCTGGCTTGTATCAGGAATAGCATGGCCAGCAGGACCAGGGAGGTGATCGTGCCCCTGTACTCGGCACTGGTGAGGCTGCACCTCGAGTACTGTGTTCAGTGTTGGGCCCCTCACTACAAGAAGGACATTGAGGTGCTGGAGCGTGTCCAGAGGAGAGCAACGAAGCTGGTGAGGGGTCTGGAGCACAAGTCTTATGAGGAGCGGCTGAGGGAGCTGGGGTTGTTTAGCCTGGAGAAGAGAAGGCTGAGGGGAGACCTTATCGCTCTCTACAACTGCTTGAAAGGAGGCTGTAGCCAGGTGGGGGTCGGTCTCTTCTCCCAAGTAACAAGCAATAGGACAAGAGGAAACGACCTCAAGCTGCACCAGGGCAGGTTTAGGTTGGATATTAGGAAAAAATTCTTAACCGAAAGGGCAGTCAGGCACTGGCACAGGCTGCCCAGGGCAGTGGCTGAATCTCCATCCCTGGAGGTATATAAAAAGATGGGTAGATGTGGCACTTAGGGACATGGTTTACTGGTGGACTTGGCAGTGATAGGTTAACGGTTGGACTCGATGATCTTAAGGGTCTTTTCCAACCTTAACGATTCTGTGATTCTATGAATTGAAATCCTTGTTCAAAAGATCACCTGCAGGGCAAAGGCCCAAGACTAGACAAACTAAAATGCATTACTGCACTGATATATTTTCAGTTTCACATAAGAAACATTTGCTTTATCTGCTAGGATCCAAAATCATGTCACAGAAGGAGGTAAATGTGTCATTTTTCCTGTACTTCTGCAGTGTGTTTTCAGAATCTGCACAGGTTGACTGAGAACACCTTAAAAGTACCCCCACCTTCTTTCCATACAAAACTTTACATTACAGTTCCTGCTACTGCTGTAACATATACAAAGTAAAGACACTATTTTTTTTTGCTAGCAGTAAGAATTGAAAGTCCGCTCCTGCGCTGAAACAATTTTATCACATAAGAGCAGTTAGAAAGGCATTGTCAGCAAAAGAGGCATGGTCTAAGAACAGATTCAACAAGACAGCATTGTCTTCCTTCTGCTTTTATAGAATAGTCTATTTCAGTTGGAAGGGACCTACAATAATCACCAACTGCCTGACCACTTCAGGGCTGACCATAAGCTAAAGCATGTTATTAAGGGCATTGTCCAAATGCCTCTTAAACACTGACAGGCTTGGGGCATCGACCACCTCTCTAGGAAGCCTGCTCCAGTGTTTGACCGCCCTCTCTGTAAAGAAATCCTTCCTAATGTCCAGTCTAAACCTCCCCTGGCGCAGGTCTGAAGCATTAACCATGTTAGAGCCTAAGCCTACTGTCTCTAAAAGTCATGGGCAACCTCCATCACTTTCAGCAGATGAGCAATCATGACCTGAGGCCCTACGATACTCCCCCAGGACTAAACCCTAACCCCTACAACTAGGATGTCTTGCTACTGCTTTAGAGTTCACACACTGTTATTGTTAACACCCAAAGAACGAGCCCAGACCCAAACAAGATGAAGAAGGCAGAACTCCGGAATCGCTGGAAGTTCTCCATGCTGCAAACTGCAGACATCATGCTTCTGACTAGAGGCTGCGCCTATTTAAAAGGGTATTGGAGCTCTACCTACCGCACGTTACGCACCCCTTGTGAGTTACACATCCATTTTTAACAACCGTATTTTGCAGTATATCCCTCCCTGTTTTCAAGTAGGTTGTACCCAGGAGCGCTACAAGTATTCATTTCAGATTTACGGATTTCAACCCAGTCTGAGACCAGAGCTTCTTACGTTGACCTCATTGTCTAACTTCTATCTGAGAAAAAAAGGACAAAAGAATTACAGTAAACATCATCAGCGGTTGACTTTTTAAAAGACTGTACAAAGAGGAATGCTTTAAGTTTACAGGCCAAGACCAACAGGGAGGACTTTAAATCTTCACCTTATGCTGAAGATTAAAGTGAGAACATGTTATGCTGGGAATTCCTGGGTTATACTGGTGCAAGAGAGGAATGTGCCAAGTTACCAGTACCGAAAAACTGCTTATTGCCAGAATTTTGGATCTAACAGCATGAAAACAATCACTTCCCAGCAGGCTACCATCACACAGAGAAATGCCTTTTTACCATAAAATAGCTAGAAGTTGGACCAAGTACCAGCTGACCAGAGAATCAAAAGTGTTCGAAGTCAGCCCTGCATCATAACAGGAAGGCAGAACTAAATTTTTAAGATTCCCTTAAAGGAAATCTTTTGTCACATTAGGCTCAGAAACATATTCTGTCTAGAACTGAGCACATGCAAAGAGAAAATAAGTAACTCCACAAGCATGGGAACGGCTGAAGCCTGGTTTCCAAAAGTTTTTTTTCCTCATGGTTGATAGACTAACTGACAAACTTTCAAGTAGGATTCATAACACGTCTGCCCTGTGCAGACTCTCTGCCCAACAAGGAATCAAACTGCAGAACTGCAGTTCTGAAACAATTAAGTTGAAAGAATCCCCAAGCAAAAAACATCTCATCTGTGGACAGACTGGATCACCTAATATTTCCTAAAACCTAACTCCAAATCGGTACGCATACCACCTCTTGCCTGCATGGATTTTCTGATATCTAGCCTGCCCTAGAGCACCTGACAGGCTCTTAGATGCCTCTTTTCACAAACACGTCTTGGTTTCTGAAGCTACGTTTACACTAGCAAGTAGCAGGATACACCAAGAGCAGACCTTCAGAGCAAGACTGAAGACCTAAGGTGCCCACACTATATATTCCAGAAGACTATTTCAAACTTAGGTCTAGCCTTGCCCACCAGCCGAGCTAGACACACACCTAGACACAACAATACTGCATCTTATGGCTTAGTTTCACCTGACAGCAATCCCGAATGACAGGTTCCAAACTGAGGAGACGTAAGTGGGGGCAGGTAGCAAACTCGCTGTGGGAAGTATGCTCCAAACCCACTCCCCAAAGTAACATAGGTCCACCTCAAACTTCCACACCTGAGCAAGCCGACAGAAGTCAAACATTTGGACAAAAAGTTAGTGAGAGCAGGAGAAGAGCAATCTCATTTTTTAGCCCAATTTAAGGAAAGGAGGCTTAAAATACACTTCCCTCAACAACAGTCCTAAGCTAAAGCGACTCCAGCACTAAAAACCAAGACTGTAATAAAGAGTTCCTTCTAATGTTACGCCAGAGAGCACACATACAAGTACAAAACAGATCTGAAGTGAAGAGTAGGTGAAAAGACAGATCACCGAAGTAGCAGGAAGCGTTGGAACTTGTTATTCAACTACTTTACAGGAAGTCCTTTGCTATCTGTCTAAGTAAACAAGGGCTATGGGGAGTGCACAAGTCAGCTTTTCAGAACAACTGCTAGACAGATTCTCACTCCAGGTTTTTCCTCTGCTCATTTATCACCATCAGAGAGAGAATTCCACAGGCCAAATTAGGCCTTGCACATGTTTAAACAGTTACAATATCAAGATTACGTTGTCAAGGTGTACACTGCGGCAGGATTTAGACCTAAAACAGTTAAAACACGTGAACCAGGGAAAACAAAACAGCTTACCTCTCAAACAGGAACCTCCTTCCATATACGAGGAGGTGATACCTTGAAAACACCACTCTTGACTACAACACTTCTTTGAAGTGGCACACTCAGCCCTAGCAAATGCTAATCAATACTAGCTGCTAGTATCTTATTGGGATGCTTTTCAAAGGTAAGTGAATAGGAGCCCTACCTCCAGGCTAAGCTTCAGAACCAAGACCAGGGCACAGGGAAGCTGCATCCAGCAGAAGTGAAGGAACAGTGTATTTTATGCAGAGACAGAGATAAGATTTTCTTCTGAGCTACTTAAGGGCATCTTTCCCTGCCTTATGTCATTGATAATGCCCAGCTTCCTATAATGGTCCGAAGTCACAGAATAGACTGGGGGAAAGATTGAAAAAGTAAAAGCTGAACAGCAAACACATAAGGAACTGAGCAATTAGAAAGGCATAAGCCTTAACTGAAAGACCTTTTTTATGCGGGCATTTAACCACTGCCTATATAGTTCTGTGATCTTGCTCACCTGTAGCATCCTCCCCTCAAGCCCTGTCCAAGAAGCTCTTGCCACCTAGCCATCTGTGCTAACAAAAAGCTGAAACTGAGGATCTTCCCCACATGCGCTGTATGTACCCTAAGCAAAGATACTTTCTGTCCTCTGATATTCTTTCAGTTCAGTCTTCTTGTGGAAGAGGAAAAGCCGCAACAGGTTCACTGACCTCTGCAGAAATATCATATTCAGTAAGCAAGCCAGGGCTAACACTTCTTCTCGCTGGCATCATCAATTCAATGGCCTCAATACACAAGACCAGCCAGCAACAATCCCACCAAAGGCAAAGCTGATAAAACTCTTACTTGACTGAAGCAAAACACAGCCCTTCGCAACCACCCCCGATGCAGCACAGGGTAGGACAACTTGACACACTAAACCCTTTCTTAAGATCGCTAATGGCACCGCTGTGATATTGGGCATTGAAGGAGCTCCAAGACACTTGTACTGGAGCACTGACTAGTATACAACCCAACAGCTGCATCCACTCAGGCTTTAAAATAAAACATTTGGCAACAGTTTGTTGGACCTTTTAGGCAAGAAAACCCTAAGGTGGCAACTTCTTCAAACAGGAAATTGATTTTGCCAGGATAAATAAAAGCAGCAAGCAGTCACACACTGTCTTTGGTTGTTCACAGCAAGTAACATCTAGGATGAAACCTGAGCATCGTCTGTCTGTCTTTATGATCGTAAGGTTGTCATCAGCACTTGCAACCATGAGGTCATCTGACTGGTCATATTATTAGTCACCTTCTGCTCCACGGCCATGCTGCCAGACATAAGCGTAGTCATTCAAAGGGTCCTCCACTGATTTGCAACTGGATTAGCAAGAACTAAACAGATTACCAAGTCAAGTACTGGGATGACATAAATTTGATCAAAAGCTAAGAGGCTTCAGCGGATGACCAAAATTTCTCATCGTACAACACGAGTAGTATTTTAGCAAAGCGAGCCAGCTGGGTCAGGTGCGCTGCTCTAGTGGAACACTGTCACCCCAGAGTCACAACAAAATTCAGCTCTGTTCGGACACCTCCTCTGCTACTGCTGCCACAGTGACAGTCCGGAGACAGGCGAACACTAAGTCGTGGGTTTAATACAAATCACATCTCGGTAAGAAATCTTGAAAGACAGAAAAACACTCTTGCAAAGGGGTAAAGACATTCCTCTCCACCCCACCTTTGCAAAAAAGTAAGGCTAATTCATTCACTTCAAGATAATTCTGAGCTAGCTGCTCAAATACACACGAACCCAGTCGCACTGCTGATGCACAAAAGCTGCAGCCATATCTAGCACAGATGCGCGGCCTAAGCGTTCTGGGGGTTTGCAACATCCTAAAGTGAGCAGCAGGGTAGCAACATAAACACTCATTATCATCTGTATTGACAGATGTGAAAGCAGATATTTTAAAGCAGAGTCACAACAAAAACAAGGGAGAGAGAGTAGACAACTTTCTTCAGGAAAGCTGTCGAAATCTTTCATCAGGTATTTTTCAGACTCCTCAGGGTGCAGGCCATTCAGTTTAAAAAACAGTAACAGGTCTCTGGCAGCAACTCTACGGTTATTTTCAAGAAGGTCAGGAGATCATTTTTCTCTGGAGCATATGATATATGACCTCCCTCCCTATCTCTGTTACTAGAAGGCTTGCAAGGGTCAAGCCTGAACTTTGACTAGTTCTGAAAGGAGGCAGCCGCGGGGCAGGGGGCAGAAAAAGAGATTCCTTCCGACTTCCACAATTGGTGTGGGGGCCTTGCCTGCCTTCAAGGCTGAGGCACCCAAAAAAGCCAACCCTCCTAGTTCTTCTACTGAACTTCTCCCAAAAAACGTGCTAGCTGGCAGAACCGAAAGCACCCTTGATCAGTTTTAATAGACTCACGCAGAGATCCAAGTCACGTCTGTGAGACTAGAGGCTTTTATTCTTCAAAAGCCTTGCGACATAAGTTACTGTAGGGCAACAGGTTACAGAAGTCCCAGTTAAGCGTTCGTTTACTCAATAAAGAGTAATTGGAGATGAGTTGCCCAGTGAAAGAGGTGAGTTTGCCTTTGCTGTAGGATAAAAGCACGCAAGCGAGCTGTTAGCACAAGTCTACTGCACTGCAGCAAGTTCACACTGCCAGTAATTTGTGTCTTCATACCCTCATTTATTGCAAAAGAGGAAAGCTCACAACTTTACATTCATGCCACAGAAGGCAGAAAGATTCAAATCTGAAGTGTTTCAGAATTACAGCTGTAGAGAGAGCTCAGCTGTTTGGGCACATATCATAAGAGAACCTTAGTAAATGCCCTGCTACCTATAAACTCCTCAATTTAAGTTTGAGGACCAACGCAGTTATTCTAAGTTACATGTTTGTTTGGTGTGTGTGTGTCCCCCGCCCCAGTACTGGAATTGCTCATTTAATACAAATTACTGTAACACCTATTAAAAAAACTGGAGAAGGCTCCTTCCACCGTGCAAAGGAATAATCTACCTTGACACATCTGCAACCTTTAGAGTTCCTTTCCTGAAAGGTATCTTCCCTGATTCATAACGTAAGTTGACATACCTGCATTTTCCCCCGACTTAAAAGTCAGTTCAAGAACTACAACTTTTAGAATGTTCAAGCAAAATCATTTAAAGATTATTGATTTCATTAAAAAAAAAAAAAAAACCAAAAAAAAACCCTGAAGACGAGTTAAGATCCCATGACCACCCGGAACAACCAGATAAAGCAAGACCAGCGGAGGGGGGTGGTATTTATAGCAGCTTCACGCAGAGTGCGAGGCTTCAGGGAGCTGTGTACATGCCAGAACTGTCAACCATTTCTCCAATAGGTTACACCACTACATTGCTATGTATGCTACTCCTCCTGCGGCGGGGCTCAATGGAGGCACGATCAAGAGAGGAATTTACTACCAAATTCCTTAAATGAAAGGGAAATAGTGCTGTTCTATATAAAGTTAATTGGCCTTGCTTCTTAAGTGCTTGCCTGTGGTTTCAGGTTAGATAGTAGCTGGCTCTGAACACTACTCCATGGGTTAGCAAGCCATATATATGTTTAGAGAATATTTAAGATGCTTACCTGGACTTGCTGGGGTTGCTGAACCTGTATTTGCTGCTCTGGCTGAGTTTGCTGCTGGACACTGGTTGTCACGGGACAAGCAAGTTCAAGCAAAGACCCAGCCACCTCTGTGCTGTCCGTGTAAATGCAGTTGCCACCCTGCTGATAGACCATTGTGGTGGTGGCCGTCTGCTGAAACTCCTGCAGAGCTTCCGGCCCCTTGGAAGCAAGGGAGTCCAGAAACTCCTTCATCCTGTGCTGGGGGATCGATCGTGCCTTCACACGGATGTATTCTTCAAAGGAAATGGTGTTCTCCAGAGAATTATTCATATTGCAAGGTCCTTAGGGTTCCTTAAGGAAAGAGAAAGTTAAAGTCTTAACTACAGCACTCCTTTGACGCAAGGATCTTCCCAGCTCCAGTAACTAACATCTCATACCGAGTACTGCCTGAAAACTAGCAACCATGCACAGCCAGATGCCCGAGACAGATGCTTTACTTTTACGAGGCATCTTGTGCTACTACACATTTCTCAGATTAACCCTTAGCAGCTCAGGGAAGTCTGAATGATAACCAGGTGTAACTGCGGTACTATTCAAAGGGCTCACTGCCGTGTAAAATCTTCTAGCATTGTACTTCACCCAGACCAGGCGAGTCCCATAACAGACAAAAATCAAGTCACACATTTCACTTGTTTGCAGCATGCAGTATTAGCGAGAGAAGCTTAGAAATCAATATGTGTGGCCCTGCTTCGCAGCCACGGAGGTGGGAGAACCGAGCAGTATGTTCTGTCAGGCCATGCAGTTCTATTCTAGGCAGCTATGGGAAGCACAACGGAAGAGCATCAGATGCAGCATTCGGCCCACTGCTATTAGGACTAGGACAGCCTTATCGATTCGAACAGAGCAAGCAGAAGAAAAGTGCTGGAATCAAGAGATTCCTCAAACGGGGAACTACACACACAGAGAGGCAGAGCTCTGGAAATCACAAAGGCAAGAGCAGCATCAGTTCCTGATGTCCTTTTAATATAGGAAGAGGTTAACATGAAACATGCCGTGTATGAAGACAAAAGAGAGACAGAAAAATAAATCAGATGATTGGGGAGGAAGTGAGAGCAAGGAAAAAAAAAAAAAACAAACAAAAAAAAAAGACTCCACCTGAGAACATTAGAAAGCTCTAGGGTTTAATCCTGACAGCATTCTTCTCTTATTGACTTATCTTGTTTAAACCCACAAATTGTTTCTGCAGTGAGTACAGGAAGAGGTTAACATGAAACATGCCGTGTATGAAGACAAAAGAGAGACAGAAAAATAAATCAGATGATTGGGGAGGAAGTGAGAGCAAGGAAAAAAAAAAAAAACAAACAAAAAAAGATGACTCCACCTGAGAACATTAGAAAGCTCTAGGGTATACTCTGACAGCATTCTTCTCTTATTGACTTATCTTGTTTAAACCCACAAATTGTTTCTGCAGTGAGTACACTGGTTGTTTCTGAGGCACTAATTAGTCTCGATAAAGGATAAATAGATTTGAGCTATAACACTACCAGATATGAGATGGTTGTGAAAAGATGTGAAACAGCACAAGATTAGGGACTAGAAGAGGTGATTCAGTACTACTAGATCAAGCTGCGGAAAGGAGGAAAAAGGGACAAACATCACTATATGTACATTATGACTGTAGTTCTAAAGAGAATAGGTACGAAAGCAGAACCTTTTATATCATTTTACCGTGATTTAACAAAGTGGAACCAAGACAGAAATAGGTGGTTGAACATAAGACTGCCACAGCCTGTGTGAAAATGGAAGTTAGCTCTAGGCTCTCAGTGGCACCCAAGCGTACTCCACAACTCCAGCTCCAATTCCCACCAAAATCAGTGGGAGCTAGAGCAAATTCTAACCACTCTTTACTGTTACGTGACAGCAGTCTAAACACACAGAAGTTCTTGTTTACATGGAGGAGGTTCATGGCTAGTGCATTGGACCAGGCTCACAGGAGAAAGAATGAATATCAAAGGTAAGGGGAACACACATGAGGCAACTTGCACTCTATCTATAGTTTCTGGAGTTATTAAGCAACATGTGTTGCTGTATGAGATTACTACGGAAAATATTCTTAAAACATGCATCATAAAAAGCACCAGCTAACAGTGTTAACTTAGTAAATCCAACAACTCTGTAAAAATCAGCATACAGAAGCTCCTGTAGAGCGCACAGCTGGACAGAAAAACAATTCTCCTGCCTTTCAGAGATTCTGATCTGACACATTTTCAAGCCAGCTCTTCGCGATAGAGCCAGTGCGACCATTCACTTAGTTGCTGACTGAGGTTTCCTCCAGGAGCCACCCAAGAGTACTCTACACCTCTACAGGACACGTTATTAACCCCTTCCCAGGTGACCGTATGTCCAGGGTGAAACCAGTAGAGAACAACCTTGTTCATGCACCCTCAGTGACTCAGGCAGGACCTAGACCAGGCACGCTCGAATGCATCTTGCATCTAATTGTAAGAGGCTCTGTTACACACTCCGAAGCTGGAAAACAGATTTTGCGTGATTAACTTGTCCTGATTTTCTACTTAGAACTTGCAAATATTTGACTTCAATACTACAGTGAGGCTTTCAAACAGCAGAATCATTTTGCATGTCCACTCTGAGGTGCACTAGCAGACACAGCTTTCAGAGGGAAGACTCTTCTGAGGAACAAGCCTCAAGGACGCCACACTGGGAACACAGACGCGAACGCTACAGGTGCCCTTTGACAGTTAGCTGCTGCTGAATAGGATGGGCTCACCTCTCAGCAAACGTCCTGCCTTCTTCCTTGCTCCTGCATTGGTACTTATTATGTTGGAACGGCTCAGGGAATAGTTACTCGCTTTCTGTTAATCTTGCCAAGGGAGAGAGTGGGGAGGTCAGCAGGGCCACTGTTTTCAACAGCAGCTATCCATTAGCCCTCACTCTTACTTTTGGAACTCCAACCCTTCTATCCAGAGCTGCTCCCATGTACATCGTGCTCCTGTGCAGGAGAAACCAGAAGCCACCAGAAACCCAGATGCATAAGCAGCAGGCCCAAAGATCAAGAAGAGGTCCACCACCAAACCATCACCTACCTCTTCCAACCACCAGGAAGCGCAACAAACACAGCACTGATTTCTTAAGATACAAATTCTCGACACTGCTTGGCTGCTGCACCTTAATTAGTTCTTAGATGCTTAATTTTAGCATCAAAATCAAGAGCCTACTAGGCCAGTCTTCCCCTACTAGCAAATCTTCCTCTGCCACAAGCTGTCAGAAGGAATCTCTCTTCTAACATGGAAAAAATCTTCCTTTATATTTGCTTAAAGTTACTACACTGAGAGCCACTAATGCCTAAAGCAGTGAAACGCTCATCTGAGCCGCTGCAGCGCCTGAAGTCCCACGTGTGGATCAGAACCCCACTGCGCCACGCGGTATTCGCTCCCGCTCCGGAACAGCGGCAGGATCTTCCTTTGGTTTACTTACGGCTCCCCAACTCTGTCAACCAGAAAGGAGCTAAAGATGCCGCAGGTAACAGTGCGGGCTGAACTAAGTTCCTCCCAGAGTCGTTCCTGTCAGTTTGAAGGCTGGCTGGGGTTATTTAACTAAAAGCACTGAACCACTCAAAACTGCACTTCACAAAACCCTGTGCGGCAGCAGAGGTACCGGGTCTAGATGGAGATTCGGGAAAGTAGCGCTCTACTCCCAGAAATTTAATTTATTAAAACTAAACCCACCTGCATTCAGGACAGAAAACCTCTTTAAGGCTCAAGTGTGCATTCGACAGGCTTTTGTAGGGCAACACACACAGCTTGCTGCCGCAGTTGCCGCTTTTACCGTTAGTTATTAAAACGTACTAATTTACACATTCCATTTATCCCGCAGACACGCATTAGAAACAGCAAACACCCATCCTCACCAGATCTTGGCAGCATGTTTTTAATACTGCATTATAAAATGAAAAAAAATAATAATAAAAAAAAGAGCACCCAGGCAATAAGCTTTCTCCGACAAAGGGAGGTAACTCCTCCCTGTTCAGCGTAACTGCGTTTTTCCCAGGAAACAAGTTCAAGAAACTCTTTGGAGATCATGAGCACATACGGTTAGTTCATAAAACTTAGACTGAGGTTACTGAAAACACACACACAACTTGCAGCATGTGGACAATCTGGACTCACCAGTCACCATGTTGCATGTATTTCTGCTGCTCTTGTCCTGAGCTCTTAGACTTGTAACGTTCTGGAGAAGACAGAACAAAGAAGCCCTTTCCATCCCCAGTTCCTCTTTCTTTATTAAAGCCGTTTTATTTTTAATATGTATTCCATTAAAAGAGAAAAACAAAAAAAAAATCAGAAAAGAAAAACGTGATCATCCAGGCAGCTAGCAGCTCCTACTGAAGAATTGCGAGATGCCCAATTCCTAACCATTGTATCCCTCGGCCTGGTAAGTGTTACTGGGAACGAGTGTGTGAGGACATCGGTCACCCTGCGGTGACGCCGGAGTTACTGGAAGACAGAACTTAGAACAAGGCAGCAGCAGTAACCCTATCCAGAGGTCCCCCCTCCTCCCCCCGCAGGTGCTCCCGGCCGAGCGGAGGAGGCCCGGGACAGACGGCAACGACACGGACGGCCCCGCCACCCGGCCCAGCCGAGGCGAAGCTCCATATTTAGCCCCTGAGATCATCGCCCGCGGCTCGGCCTCTCCCCTGCCCGAGCGGGGGACGCGCAGCCCGCGGGGCTTCCTCCTGCGGCACGGCCGGGGAGCTGCCCGGGCCGCTCCCCGTCG